GAAAGAAAAGAAAAACATCATTCTAAAAGTCACTCTGTATTCAGTAAATATGATCACGATATCAATGGAATCACATTACTTTACTTACTTACTTACTTGAACGGCCCGTCTTCACTAGTTATGCGGACCCCAGTATAATCACGATTTTTCGGAGATTTGCTAGTTAAGCCATTGTGGTTACTAGAATCCCGGGAACAGCCTGGCCAAAGTCTGCTCCAGTTCCTCACCACAACGGGCAGTCGCAACACGTGGGTAAAACAGAGATTTTCCACCATGCAATTTTGATACCAGAACAGTGGCGAATCCTGGTATTGGTTTACTCTTAGCTAGGCTTCCTGATGGAAACGCTAGACTCCTTCACAGCTTGGGAAACCCTGCCGGGAGATGAATCCCTCCGCTGTATATCGCAGTCCAACACTCAGGAACACCTCCCAGTCACGATTGGGCGGTTAACCGTTGGAAGGAATCACATTACTTTACGGAGCCAAAAAAGGAGTTATTAGATAATGCTGGAAATGATATGGCCACGTTGGCCGCTGTATCTCCGGTGACATCCGGCACTCCTTGTTCGAGGTGGCGAGTCCGTCTCTGACAGAGCAATCGCCCGTCCTCGTGGAATGGTCGGAAGCGGTAAAGCCCGCTTCTCCAAACGCTGATACTTCGTTGTACGCTTTTGTCTGAAAATATGCATAATATCAGCAAGATACTTCGCGTTGAGACGTGGAAGTAAATGCCACATTTCTAATCAATTTTCGATTTCAAGAAAAACACCATACCTTTTTGTGATTTCTGCCTGGACAGAGGCAATATGCAACGCCGCTGCCTAATTGTCCCGCCAAAACTTGTGCTCCTACCTCTTAGGGTTCGACCACCTGGACCTTAGAAGCCAAGGGCCCGTCATATCCTAGTGGTCCTGTTTCGCGGATGGCACCACCTTTCTCTGAATTTCCGTCTAGCGTCTCACCGCTACCTCCAAGAGTTCTCAGTGGTCCTTTACGGGAAACACTTGCTCGAAATCTTCACCCTGCATGCGACTGTCTATTAACATGAGATCTTCCACTTTAGAGCAGCTCGAAAAAATCATAAGTCACATTAATTTCTTCTAGAAATTCCTTTCATCATTATTAACCATATGAAGCAACAATTACTTTTTCTCCATTTGGGTCGTTTTCGCCCTCTTATCGGTCTCGTTTGCCCCGGGCTGCCTCGATAGGCGTCATTTTAGGGCATTCCCGGTGTTCCTCTGGAACGGCGCATTCCCCTCACACCTTCGAACTACGCAATTCATTGGCAAGTCTTGTGAGTGCCAAAAAAGACCGCTTAGTACTAAGGATTAAGTGGACGAATTTACCAATGAAAGGAATTTAAGTATTAAATATTAAATAATGCAGTCCAACAGACATACCGTTTTACCGCGTTCACAAGGTGCTTCGGCTTTCCCCGTTGGACAGTGGAAACACCCAATGAACGGTGGGTTTTGCCAGTCATCAATGTCGTTTTCCTGGAACGATCTCCACAAATCCTTTTTTGGCTACACCCATTTTTTCAGAAAATTATTCTAAAATAATAACATTTTTAAACATTTTCCATAGATTGGAATTTATTTCCAACTTTTCCTGAATTCTTTTATTGCTGTAATCTATAGTTCAAATTCATGACGTCAAGATCTAAACCGCATTTCTCTATCTAGTGCAAAACGTCGATACGAAACCATCGGTATCAGTAATATCCCCTCTTAATGTAAGTTTCTTGTAGGATGAAGCACATACTAGTTGCTTATTTATGCTTTCGTGGTACGGTAGACCACCTAATCCGGTGCCACCTTCAGGTCCAGGAAAGCCAGGCGGATATTCTCCGGTGCCAAGATTGTGATCCTTGTCAACTTTTTCTCGAAACGTTAGTAAGGAAAGATAAAATTCGCTGACTTACGTTTGATTGCATACTTAATTTCTGAGACCAAGCATCGAAATATCGCATCAAAATTCCAAAAATAAATTCACTGTAATAACCCGCAAAAAAGAAGGTGCTGAACTATTGCAAAGCTTCTAGCCGTTTAATGGCAAATTCACTTTGTTTATAACAGACGTGGGGCGTGAATTACAGTGGTTAGAGGCCACCCTGCAATAAAAACGTGATGCTCGTTTCACGCCTGCAGACAGATCAAGTCCCCATCCCTTCAGGATTTGCAATTTGAAGCAAGATTTAACTGGAAGAATGGAAACTCTCATTTAATATATCGGCTTTCGCAGTTTATTATGTGGGCCAAATATGTATTAAGTCCCTTGCTAGAAAAATACAAGGAATATCCTTCACAGACGAATAGACGCCAAACGTTCTGTTTTTACTCTTCGGTACTGAGTAATCATCCAAATGAAAAAGTGAGAAGTGTTGGAGATGAGGAGCCCTAATATTCGACCTCAAGAAAATACTGCCCCATCAGTAGATGTGCGATTATTTCTAAACAACGGACCTCCTTGGTGGACAGGTTTTTCTAAAAATATTACATAGGCAGCTGCGACTACCAAAATCCGATGAAAATAGGTACAAGAGCTTAGAGAGACGTCTGCAAAAGTTAATAAAAATAGGTGCTGTAAAAGTGACGGAAATGATACTACGGAATTCCTGTTTACGTTCGGCGGACAAGTAAGAAGACTTGGGTCAAAAACAATTGTTATTATTTCAGCTCTGCTGCTGTTAACCGCTGTTAGGTACTATGGACATGACACTCAATAAAAGTGCTTCTTAAAACGACAGTTGCTTTCGCCTTAGGCTTAGGCTTAGGAGGATTTTTATTTTTACAAAGATATTTTCCAATTAGCGTGTAACCATCTTAAAAATTCGGAGAAAACTTTGACGATTGAAATTGAAGCAAGAAAACTAGTAAATGTAGGAAAGACACGTTTTTGACACACGACGGTGTTCATGAGAAATTTGACCATTTCATTTTGAACGATCCATCATATTGGGAGAAGAATGAACCACAGTATTAGTAATATTAAGAGAAAATCTTTCCATTTAACATGCAACTGAACACCCGACTTGCGATCTGATATACGATAGAAACAGTTAGTTTCATGATGAGAACCGACTATCAGACGGAAAACTTCTTTATCAATTTTTCACATTTCATTCAAGAGATCACCATCGTGGTTGCCAAGTCTACTGCATGAGAATAGTTTTTGATATGACATATTTTCCTGGAAATGTTCTTCGAATTCACTTTTTCCCTACCCATTTCGCTAAACAATCTAGGCGGAAACCAGAGTGAGTATGGATCGTTCGAGAGAGATGCTCCATTGAGGAAGCCCCGGCTCGATACTCGACAAATGCGCCATCACGAGAACTCGAACGTCTGTGGACCATCGACTCGGATCATCGGCTCTGATGAAGACGAAACCGTCGAAACGTCAGCCGTAAATAAACATTGTTTACCAACCTCCTGTAAACTTATCAAAGAAGGAACACATATTAATCAGTGCGGAATTGTTAAATTTAGAACTCTTATTTTCTGTCCACTTACGTAAAAGCTGATGTTTCGGCGGATTTCGCCTTCCTCAGAGTCGCTTTCTATGAGTGGAAAGAATTCTTCAATCAAAGCCGAGGTTAATAGAAAGTCGGGCGTGGGAGTTCTTATTTTCTGATTTCTCCATTTCCATTCAACATGCCTTTTCACACTGTGAATAAAATATGGCGACAAAACACATTTCACACATGTTGAACTACAAATATAAGAAACTTATTTACTTGATACTTGCTAGTTGAATGGCCCGTCCTCACTGGTTGTGCGTGCCTCAGCATAATCTCCATTCATCGGAGATTTGCTGGTTAAGCCATTTTGGTTTCTTGGAATCCCTAGGTCAGCCTGTCTAAAGTCTGCCCCAGTTGCACAGGCAGTCACAGCCTTTGTGGATCAGAGGGAGATTTGCCACCACGCGAATAATTTGGTACCAGGATGGTGGTGGTTACTGGAGATTAATCAGAGGAACTTTGATACAAGGACGGTGGAAGATCCTGGTGTTGGTTTACTCTTAGCTAGAATTCCTCGTGAAAACACAAGACTCCTTTTCAGCTTGGGGGACCCTACCAAGGAATGAATCCCGCGTTGTACAGCGCAGTCCGTAACCCAAGAACACCCAGCCACGAACCGTTGGGAGGAATGTAAGATAACATGTTTTAAAAAGCCATTAAAAATAATTCTCTTTATGTAGGTTGAAGCACGATGTCGCCGAATTTGTATTTTAACAACCCATTTTCTTAATAAAAACCTTGGTTTTATAGAAAGCTCTGAAGCTAAGTTCAATATTTTGTCCACTCTTTTATACTTTCCATCTTTGCCTTCCAGATATTTTATTCAATATATTTTTTGGCCACTACTCGTCACACTATTTGATAATTTCATGAAATTACCAAGTAGCAAGCAAGAATTGTAGCTTTTTAACGAAGCATAATAGTCAGATCGACAGTTATCGACCATGTATTACTCTGTGCGGCGGCTATCCACCAACTAACTTAAATACTTACAACAAATAAACGGCTCTGAAGAAGGCGAAACCGCCGAAACGTCAGCAATTGTGTTCTAATAAATTCTATATTAACAACCTCGTGTCTGCTTATTGATGAAAAACATTGAATCATAATAGTCAGAGTTTTATAGCCCTGCGGTGAAGTACCTTTCCCTCAATAACTCCATGTGGTCGAAGTATCGTCACATGCCTTTCGAAGCTACTAATTCGGTAACAAACGATTTATGGAATGAAGTGAGTAACGATTGCTTAGTAGGTGATGAATTGACCACTAAGAGTGGATTCGATCAGTTTTTAACCAGTTTTTTACTGGTAACTAACATTTAGGTAATTAGGGAATCGCTATCGAGACGACTAATGCGGACGCACGGTAACCAGTTGCTGCGATAGACAAAGGCGCCGAGCCCCGGGTCAGTAGATGGTGGATATAAAAGACTCTAAGTCGTTCAGTCGACACTGCACGTCTCTAGCCAAGCGATGAGCGTCTCTAAAGCAACAGCAGGAGCACTGTGTTTTTCGACTACTACACTACTTGTCTCATTGTATTCAATATACAATATTTATTCTGATGTTCATGGTATATGGATGCAACTTGACGAACAAATAGTCGAGATTAAGGTGATTTTCGGATGTTCAACATCACTTTTTTGAACATTTATTTCTTGTTTAGACTTTTCAGCACTCAAAGTCTCTATAAGAGCGCTCATATTTCAACGGTGAGACGCCACCTGAAATATACACTTGGTCATCGGTCTGGCAATGCCCCGAGGTTCTACAAAGGACCTTATCTCTCTACGGTCAACAACTTGCTGCCAAACGTGACTGTGCGAATAAAAAGCATTAAGTTGATACATCAGTCGGCTCCCTCGAGTTACTGTAGCGGCCAAATACGTATTCAATCATCGCTACGATGTTTAGTGGAAACACTATGCTTTTCAACAAATATGTGAAAAGATGAACGCCTAATAAAAGATAAATACCAAGTGTTAATCCTTTCGCAACAATATCAAAATTTCGCTTGGCTGGCTCAACCGGTTATGCCGGCTATTACGGACCAGCTGGTTTTTTGGAAGGAGACAATAATTTCTCGATAACTAAAGAATCAATGGGTTGTTAACACGACAGAATTGTAGAAAAGACTATTATATTGTTGTGCAGACATGGATGGTATGTCCGCTATTTTTTCTATACATTTTCATGGTGGGTCATCCGAAAATAATATTTTTGGAACTTGGAAATGTTTTGTAACTTATATGCATCTATTTCAGTAATTTCCATGCCTGCAAACTCTTTGTGTTAGCTATAACTCATAATAATATAATAATTCATTAAAGTAACCAAGCTCGGAATCTCTGTTAGGCTTCCTAGCCGCATTTTCTTTTGCCGGGGCTCACGTGCTATTCACAACACTAGCCACTGCCCTTCCATTGCCTTTAAAAGAACACCTAGTCGCAAACGCAAATACTCCACTAGGCAAGCATTAGACGCAGAGACATAACGGAGAAGATTTCGAAGTAGGGGTTACGATCCTCGGGCAAGAATCGAGAACACAAGCGCGCAAAACTCTAGAAAGTAGAAAGAATTAGAATAGTAGTCGATTACCAATCAAATTTCTGATCAGTGCACTAGTTCAAAAAGAATTCTTTGTATATTTCTCGAGGCGGAATGGAGCTTTTCACTACCAATTCTCAACACAACATCTATGTTTTGCAAATCATCGATTGACTGCGAAAATTCCGGTAAGGAAATCAAATGTGGCATAATAAACCAGCGAAGATCGTAGCAATGAAATTAAGATGAACGGTTGGAAGCAGTCACCAATGTACCTATCAAAATCAACCGCGCATAGTCGTAAACAACGTAGCAATCTGTCACCTATTTTTTGTTGTTTTGAAAAAAAATGAATTTCAAAGCGATTATATCAAATTAAGCACTATTTGATTACCTAATAATAAACAGGACTTTTGGCTCCAGGTAAAAACCGACGATATCTGGACGCAAATGCTTGGTCTTGGAGCCGCTACTGCATCAACTCGTCAGCGACGTCAGGGAAAGGACCAATATGGGGCCTATGAAGCGCAAGGAGTGAATGCTGGGCCAGTTTGCGGTGAGTAACCATGTTATACAATTACCTTTCTATTCGAGAGTTCTAGCCAGAAATAATTTTTTTCGCACTACTCGTTCAAGAATCAGTTGGCCATGTCCTGTGTTACATGCGCGACTAATCAACATCAGAAATGAAGAATTCCACGATTTCCGCCAAATTGAACATTTAAGCTCAAAATTACACCATTACTACCGTATTCTTATAAGATGAGATAGCATGAAAATGCCATAGAACGCTTAAGAGATAACAGTTCTCACCTATTTCAAAAAAATAGGTTATCCAATTCTCATCCAATAGTTATCCAGTAGAGTAGTGTCCATTTTTTTCGTAAAAAAATTTAAGAAATATAGACATTTGATGAAGGATGTTAATTGGGACGGTCTTAAGACTTAGTGCCTCTTATGAAGTCGTTCATTTCCTTAGTTGCAAATCTGCAAACGGTAAAGCGTTTGGTGTTAATCATTCTCTAATTGATACAAGGACTGATTAGAAGAAAGGCGGAATCGAACCAAAGAAGTCGTGTGTGTTCCTTCCAGCCACTTCACTACGTGCTTTCCTTGCAAGTATAACTTGAACTAAACAATTTACTTTATTCACGTACTCTTCACAGTGCCAAGAATGTGTACGCGTACATCAGACCATATCTTGTAATCCTCATCAATCGCTTACTGCATCGTCATGACAAGTGTATACTAGTGGCTCTCGAATTTCAGTGTAGAGTAGAAGGTTCATCTTTGCCAGGCCAATTTCTGCTAAGGAATAGTTTAACATTTTTACAGGAAACTTAGCTAAGAATTATCCTTCACCATGAATATGCCCGAGAAACAATCCATTTCTAACCTATACTCTGAGTCTAACGCGCGTGAGCGTAGACAGGTGGACAACTTTCAGGTAGGTGAACATGAGTTTTTACTTGTGAACGATCGTTAGCTGGCGGTTAGTGTTTGTACGGTGACAGTGGAAGTGAATCTGTGATACTTTTCAAACAACTTATTGGTCGGAAATTTCGTTAACTATCTACTAGACAACAGTTTATACTGTCTTCATCTGTGAACATTCCACATCAATTTCAACGGTTGATCATCATTTCGAAAAGATAATGAAAACAACACTCCCAAGTCCGACTTTCTATTAACCTCGGCATTGATTGAATATATCTTTCTACTTCTGTTCAGCAAGCACGAGGTGCTATTTTATTTCTTTAGCTTTCGCACAGGCTGACGTTTCGGCGGATTTCGCCTTCCTCAGAGCCTGGAAGGGTCAAGTTGACAGCAATCCACTCGACCAAACACCTCCATAACCAAACAGGAAAAGCGCTAAGCCAAGATTTCAATCACATTTAACATAGCTCTGCACACTCACCGCTTTCTATGAGTCTTCCACTGAGTATATCGCGTGAAGACCGACCGCACAGAATTCACATGGAAGCGTAATGTGCCCCTCCCATCAGAATAACAGGCTTATATACTATCCAATACCACGTGATATCACGGCAAAAAACTGAGAGACAGGCAAAACGAAGGACCCGCTGATGTGGCGATGAACCCATTATCCCACCCCCTCCCTGCTCCTCTCCCCACCGCGCCCCGAAAGGGAAGGATAAGACCGGGTTCGATCCCCACTGCAGATAACTGCGACCCGAAATTTTGCAAATATCTCAGCATTACTGTTTTATTTTTTTTAATTTTGTTCGTTTTAGTCTACGCGACCTATCATCACAACTACTATGCGCATTCTACTTCTTCCATTTGATTCATGCCATCATACATGAATGTACCAAACTCTTCGCGTGTGGACTTGGCTGCTGCTTGAAGATTGTCATCTTCTCAATGAATCTCGTTCTTTGGAATCGTGGAGCAACCGGGCTAGAGAGTCTCCATTTTAACTACAGGAATCGAACTATTCCCGACAAGTTTTGTAGTAATTTCCCAATCTACAAGAGATGGAGGATTGCGGAACTCCGACTAGCACCATGCTTGTGATGAACAGAAGCCCCATCACTGTCCTACCTTCCTCCTTGGTGCTTCTTTTAGGTCTAAAATTGCTTCTTGTTGCTTAGTTTGTTATCATCCTTCTAATATTTCGAAGGATAATCCACAGACATGCAGTTCTCTGTGTTCCTCGCTGAAGTTTTGCCCGTGAATTTATTTCCGCATGTTAACGAGCAATTCGAGGAAGGCATGTATGCTGCATATTTTGGGCGCTACCTTAGAGCCCTTAAATTTTTCTTATTTTTTCCACATTCTATGGCTTATTTCTCACTAATCGACTTCCGTTTCAAAGCAGCCTAAAAATCCATGACGCAGGCTATATGGTGGGTGCGTAGGAAGAAATAGACACTATTAAAGCTTCTATCATTCGCTGCACCATAACGCTTTTCTGGACGAGACTCGACACTAAATAAAAAAAACAAAAAAAATCACAAAAAATCAAACGTACGACATTACACTAAATAAAAAAGTTTTAATTCTATAGAAAAGGATAAATAGTGTTTTAAGAGAGAGCAGCTGTCGCTTTAAGAAGCACTCTTAATCCATAGTACCTAACAGCTGTTAACAGCAGCAAAGTTGTAATAATAACATTTGTTAACTTATTATTTATTGCCTACTCCTTTTTTTAACGGCAGGGTATATATTGCGAAATATAACTTTAATAATGCTGATATATTTGCAAAACTCCGCACAGCAGGGGTCTGCGGTGGGTAACGAACGCGCCATTGTCCTTTCCGGGGAGTAACGCGTTCACCACCACACCATCCGGGTCGTTCGTTTCGCCTGTCTTTCAGCTAGTTCTATCGATCTTTATAGTTCTATATCTCAACATTATTAAAATAACAATTGTTTTTGAGCCAAATCTTCTTACTTGTTCACCGATTGCAAACAAGATTTCCGTGGTGTCACTACCGTCACTTTTACAGCGGTTATTTTTATTAATTTCTGCAGACGTCTCTCTAAGCTTTCGTACCCATTTTCATCGGATTTTGGTAGTCGCATTGCTTATGCAATATTTTTAAAAAGACCTGTTCACCAAGGAAATCCGTTGTTTAGAAATAATCGCACATCTATTGATGAGGCAGTATTTTCTTGAGGTCGGATATTAGGGCTCCTCATCTCCAACCCTTATCACTTTTTCATTTGGACGGTTACTCACCCCCAAGGAATAAAAACATAGAGCGTGTGTCGTTGTTTTGTCCCTGAAGGATATCCCATGCAATCGACTCTATTTCTAGCAGGGAACTCAATACATATCTTTCCCCATATAATGAACATCACTATCTTATCGGTGTACTAAATGAGCGTTTTTATTCTTCCACATAAGTATTGCGCCGAATTGTAGAACCTGATGTATGGGATGCTTGATTTGCCCGAAGGCGAAGATTTGAAAAAAGAATCATGATTGTACTGCAGAGCAGTCTCTAACCACTGCACTACACGTGCCTTAAGTGTGTTATAAACAAGATGAATCCTCCACTATCGAACTAGGAAGTTCCAAATAGTGCAGCGCCAAATTTTTCCGAGTTATTACAAAGAATTTATATTTGAAATTTTAATGCAATATTTCTCTGCTAAACCTGAGCAGTTAAGTATGTAATCAAACATAAGACAGCGATTTTTAGCTTGCTTTACCAACACTGCAAGAAGAAGCGGCTGTGCGAGTGGCGAAGGTGATTGCGACGAGGAGGACGATCTTGGCACTGGAGGGTGCCCGCCCGGCCCTCCTGGACCTGAAGGTGGCACCGGATTAGACGGTGTTCCTGGTCACGACGGCGTAGATGGGCACCCGGTATGTGCAGCAACCTACAGAATGCTTACAAAGAAGGGATATATTACTGATAGCGATGGTTTCGTATTGACGTTACGCAGTATATGAGGAAACGTTGTTTATATGTTGACATCATAAATTTAAATTTTTAGATGGGACCAGTTAAAAACTTTAAGAAAATGTGAATGAAAATCAGATGTGCTAATTATGCATAAATATCTTATTTTTTCGTCTAAAAACTGCATAGTTTGCTTAAAAAGATCGTTGTTTCCAAAAAAGGATTTGCCGAGATCGTTACAGGGTGAGGACGCTGATGATTGGCAAAACGCACCGTTCATTGGGTGTTTCCACTGCCCAACGGGGAAAGCCGGAGCACCTGGTGAACGCGGTAAAACGGTATGCCTTGTCGACTGCATTGCTGAATATTTAGTACTTAATTTTCTTTTCCTAGTAAAATTGGTCAGTTATCCCTTAGTGGTAAAGCTAGCTTTTTAAAATTTACAAGATATGTCGACGAATTGCATGGTTCTAGGGTGTCAGGGGAATGCGCGGTTCCAGAGGCACGCCTGGAATGCCTGGAAACGACGGCTACCCCGGCAGCCCGGGGCAAATGGGGCCGACAGGACCGCCGGGCGAAAACGGCCGCCCGGGTCCAAATGGAGAAAAAGTAATTATTGATTCATATGCTTGATCATGATGAAAAGAATTTTTGAAAGAAATTGATGCGATTTATGATTTTTTCGAAGATCTCTAAATTGGTCTAAAGATCTTATGTCATTAGAGACTTGTATGCAGGGTCAAGATCTCGAGCAAGTGGTTCCCCGTAGAGGACCACGTGGAATTCCCGGAGAGAGCGGTGAGACGGGACTAGACGGAGATCCAGGAAAAGACGGCGCCATCGGTGAATCCGGACCACCCGGACATGACGGTCCCCCTGGCTTCCAAGGTGCAGGCGGTCGACCCGGAGAGGAAGGAGCACAAGGAGTGGGGGGACAATTGGGCGCCGACGCTGCATATTGCCCCTGTCCAGGCAGAAATCACAAAAAGGTGTGATATGATATTTATTTTTTAATCGGAAATCTATTTGAGACATGGCATTTAGCTCCACGTTTCAAATTATAGTATTTATTTAACGTTACATACATTTCCAGAGAGAAGCGCACAACGAAGCAACAGCGTTTGGAGAAGCAGGCTCTTCGTCTTCCAAGCATCCTGCAGGCACAGGCGGTTATTCAGCTAGAGACGGACTCGCCACCACGAACAAGGAAGGTTGAGTGTCATCGGATATACAGCGATCAACGTCGCTGCTTCAGTTGCAACATCATTCAATCACCCTTTTTGAACCCGTAAAGAAATATGACCTCTCTGATAACGTAATCGTGATCAATAAATAGGCAGCACAACGACTTTTACAATGATGTTTTTCTTTTTCAATATCGGAACTTTTCTACGTTTTTTTTTATTGCCGATATTGAAGCCTGTGGCATTGGCCTATGTAACCATTACTAATTAAACAGGTGAAGTAGTGAAAGATCAGAAACAATATCTAGCAAATCTCTGGCAGAAGCTGAGCACAACAGCGCGGTCGCTAACAGCTGCTTTCATTCGGTGCTGTACAACCTTGACAGCTGTAGATCTCGGTCTGACAAAAGACCAACTGAAGAAAATTTTGTGTTATAACTAAAGATAGGCGAAACGAAGAACCCGCATGGTGTGGTGGTGAACGCCTTACTCCCCAGGAAGGACAATAGCGCGTTCGTTCCCCACCGCGGACACCTGCGGTCTGGAGTTTCGCAAATATCTCAGCATCATTAAAGTTATATTTCGCAATATATACCCTGCCGTTAAAAAGGGTAGGCAGTAAATAATAAGTTAAAATTAAAACCTGACATAATTCTAGACTTTCTTCTAAAATAAGACGAAATTCGCATTGAAAGCATTTCCGAAAAGGACAGAAATCGACTTTATGCTAAAAAATCAACATAGGAACTTCTTTGGAAAGAAGAACTTATCAAGAATAACCACAATAATTGCGATTCGATAAAACCCTGGAGGGTACAATGAATTGCAGTGGAGGTAACTTCTTTCGCCACCACAACTGGTACTCATAGCTCGTGATGGAAACTTGAAACGCGTAAACGTAGGAGCATTAGGATTCCGTAGAGAACTATGGTCAACATGTAAGTTACAAGAAAACACGACACTTGGTTCAGTGGTAGTAGCCCTATCAAAGTGTGAATCGAATGGAAGAGATGCTGTAACACGATTCACAGCGTACTCAATCGCCCTTCAAAACTAATTCTCTCTGTAGATCAGGCATAAAAGATTTCATTCATTTACTGGGATTTCTAGCACTTTTTAGTCAGCGGTAGAATTTTTTAAAGACTAGGAATGAATACGAAAACTTCTTCCTACCGTCGTTTAAACACGAACCATTTTAAAATGGTTAATACTATTTTAAACAATGTAGTAGTGTTCTGAGAACCAATATCACCACAGCATCGAGAGAAAGGAAGAAACTAGTATATGCTAAGATATATCTGCCTTTATCTAAAAAACATGGGATTAAAGCAAAAGTCATAATATAAATGAGCATATACTGTCTCTTTTGAGAAGTAGCGTTTTGCGCAGAAGTGATAATGCTGTTTTAAGCGCATATGGCAAAGGTTCCACCCCCATCAAGCCGGCCAGGCCTCTTATCAGTCTGCGACTAGGTAGTTCTCACAAAATTTCACTTCGATCTACTACATTCGTAAAAAAAGGCAAGGACCCTCAGGAAACATCTCAACCCACACGACAAATCAGGTGACCTTCGGGAAAATGGATGCAAGGAAACGAATCGAAAAAAAGCGCTGGAATCGGTGCAAGATGTGTTGTCGGTAAAAAAAAATAAAAAGAGGTATCCTTAGCAGAAATGCTTGATCCATAAAAACCTAAGCAGACGACCTAGTACCGTACCTAGCGATTGGAAATTGTCGGGAAAGTCCATAATGTTAATCATGTTAATCGGAAAAAGGCTCTCCATTGATATACCATCACGGTAAAAGCGTTTATATTTTAATTCCAGAAAACGGAAAACGAACCGCAGGGAAGAATGCCTTATTATCATGTGTGATATTTGGCGTTATATAAGCCTGTTATTCTGATGGGAGGGGCACATCACGCTTCCATGTTAATTCTGCGCGGTTGGTCTCCACGTCGCATACCCAGTGGAAGCCTCAAAGAAAGCGGTGAGTGTGCAAAGACTCTATGTTCAGTGTGATTGAAATCCTGGCTTAGCGTTTTCTTTGTTTGGTTATGGAGGCGTTTGGCCGAATAGATTGCTGTCAACTAGACCTTTGGCTCTGAGAAAGGCGAAATCGGCCGAAACGTCAGCTTATTCGTGAATAAAGAATTAAAATAACACCTCGCGTTTGCACAACAAGAATATGAAGAAAGTGTTTATAACTGCTTTAACAGCTAACCTTTCTTTTGTTTGGGAGCAAGGTTGCATCAAATGTGTTACCTGAGAAAATGAAAATCTGCATGCATTCTTTCAACACCAACGCCAAGTTGAGGTAAATAGAGAATATTTTAGACAGCCTCTGAGAGATTGCACGAATATCGATGAAACCTAGACCAACAAGTTCGGTGGGAGGTGAATGGAGTCATTAGAAAGGAGTTCACACGAAGAAAAGGTCAACATCCATCCTCAATACCAGCTTGACTCTTTAAGCAAAGCTTTTTAAAAAAAACCACTTCTAGTCCAGCACATCTGTAGAGTTAAATCAGCTGCATCTATCACCTGTTCATCGTTTTATGATTCGAGTTGGCGCTAGTAAATATCTCCCCGTACCGTGAAAGAGTATTCCGTATATACTGCTGAGATATCAGTTTTGCTAGCTCCAAGATTTCCCAGCCTAGGTAGACGTAACTGGAGCATTCAGAGATTATTGTTCCCGTTAAACGTTAATGGGATAGGAGAAACCAATCCGTTCCGAACGGAGATAATTTTGTGAGATTTAGTCGAAGACTAATCTTTGCACAAGCGTTACCAAAGTCGACAAGCACTAGGTTCACCTGGTTAATGCTATGTGTTATAAGAACGATGTTTTCATCAAAGGAAACGGCAATTGCTGGCTCGAATCTGGCCCGGGGTAGTCTATCTCTAGCGAATATCACAGCATCATCGTGGTTGTATTTCACCAAATATCCTGACATTAAGAAAATAATATGCAGCAAATAAAAAGTTATGCACTGTGATTTCGACTGCAGCCTCAACTTAACTGGGGTCAGTACTAATTTGTGCTGCCCCGATCATTTTCGTTGAGGTTTGATTGCTGAAAGCAACGTTAGCGTAAAAAAACATGTTGAGAGACAGGCAAAGCAAGGGACTCAATGGTGCAATGGGCAATATGTACCAATCCGGAATGGCAAATTATGGATCTCAACCGAATCTGCGATCTGAGTTTTGCAAATGCCTCAGCATCATTGTGGTTTCCCTTTACATAATGTGCTGGGGTGTAAAAAGAGTAATAGGGAGTAAGTAAAAGGCTATACAAAGGGTAATTTGTATGATTGTCGAGCATCGATTTTCATTTTTAGCTAGTTAGGTTAAACATATTTTTTAATCAAACGGTTATCGAGCAAAACTATTAAAGTACAACGAACACATGAGTGAAACTCTGTGATATCATGGAAGGCTTCAAACAAGGCCGATCCATGCTAACAGTGGCGTCTTTCTTCGGATCCAGTTTTTGTGGGCGAAGTTGGTTTAAAAGCCTTCGACTGAATGAGGAACCCAAACGATAAGTGAAGAGATGGATCAACCCATCCCATTTAACTGCAAAGGATTCTCGACGCATTTCAAGGAGTGTAGCTCGTTATCCCAAATCCACTATTTTGTAGTATAAACTCACATGAGGGTGGTGCAGTGATCGGAGAAGCATTGCAATACACATAAAATCGATTCCCACGGCCCCGGCTAGACAAGCCTTCCATCCATCCCAGATCGGCAAATTCGTACCAGAGTTATCTGGGAGGATAGTAGCACTGGTTCGATACATCGGTTGGCCACGCGAGTCATTGTAAGGGCCAAACATTCATTCAATCACTTCCAAACGATGCTTAATGAAGTCGAATTCATGGGGCATCGTTAAGGGATTGATCAAAACCGAGGGTTTTTTTTATTATAAGCTCACATGTTCTGGAACGTGTTATTTTAAAGAGCAAACTAGGACATATTCATTGAGATGGTTGGTCGAAAATTTCGCGCTTCAGTATCTGAGACTATACGCTTCTCATTAACCCGCTGACGATCACCGACAATATCGGGTTATAGTCCGGTTACTACTAGCGAACAGACACAATTTCTCCGATTTACAAGCTGGGGATTGTCTGTTAAAAACACGGAAAAGATCAGGTCTTCTTGGAGTTTACAAGTCGTCACGAAATACAGAAGAGCAACGTTTCAAAATCCGAGTTTTGCAAGACACCGTCCATCCTGGTGTGACAAGGTTTCCCCGAAGGCTACGAGAATGCGTGACTTAGATTACTGTGTCGTTTTCTTGTTTAGCAATCGCGAGGTTTCGCAAACAGCACACATTTACTTCCATAAAAACACAGTACAATACAACGCTAGCTGACGTTTCGGCAGTATCGCCTTCTTCAGAGCCTGGAAGGGTATACTGATATACAATCTACTAGGCCAAACGCTTCAATAACACTTACACAAAGACGAAAGGCTCTTTGGTAATTACACGATCAACAACTTCTCGAAAAACCCACCGCTTTTCGTGACTTCCAATGAGGGAGTTTAGAACAGCTGATTATAGTCGCATGTGGTTGACGACTGCACCATCGCACATCAAAAATCGATGCGAACGTACGGGATCAGGTCGCGTATGACCTCCGGGCATTCGTCCCTGCTATTCATTGTAGGGTTTTTGGCATTGATCCAAAAAGCCTCTAGGAGTTTTCGCTCTGGTGTTTTGGACTCCTGTGCAAGGATATTGACTTTTACTTCAAAATCGTCTCCACTATGCTTTTGTATCCTATGCGTGCCTAGTGTGGTGCTTCGTCTTAGTTTTCGTTTGCCATCTAGGTGTTCTTTTATACGGATACACAAAGGTCTGCCCGTTTCGCCAATATATTCATCTCCGCAATTGTTACACGAGATCAGGTGTCTGTCTGTTGTCTGTTAGTGATAAGGGGGAAGAGTTCGTAGTTATCCCTCGCCAGCGGGATGTTGAGATAACAGAGGAACATCTTAGTGATGCTACTCTCTATCGCCCAT